ACTGGGGCATTTTCAGCGGCCCAGCCAGTGTCCTGGATATCTGTGGACCGCCGGACCGCCTCCTCCGGCCCCTGCGGTCGCCATGTCGCAGACCAACACCTCCCTCCTGGACCAGGTGGTGCAGTGGAACCAGGAAACCTGCCGCCAGCAGCTCAAGGCGGTGCTGCCAGAGCTCACCATATCCTCCCGGTTCAGGTCCATCCGGTGTCACTGGAGGATTTCATGCTTGGTGCTGTAGAGTGAGGACGGTCCGGTCCGACTGCCTCTGTAGGTGTGGAGAATAGAAAAACACTTTATTTATCCCAGTCTGGGAAATGACTGTGGTACAGCAGCAAGAGAAAAACAGTCCCAACAGAAAAAGAGCCAAAAGTTAAATACTATTTAAAAAATGACAAATAAAAATAGGTGAATAAAATAAAATAAATGAAGAACATATCAGCTGTGATTTGGTGTTCTGTCTGCAGGGAACACCAGCCTGGCGGAGCTTTACATGAAGTTGTTCTCTCTCATGCTCACCTGTCCTGCTGTTTCCACCTGTGCTGTAGTCCCGACACGTTTAGCAGGCGTGTGCACTTGAATGTCTCTGTTGTGATTTTCTTTGACTGTTGGCACGCTTTGCACCAGAAGTCTGACAGCTGGAATGATCACATACGTAAGCTTCTCAGTTGCACACTTTGTCATTACAGACTATTGTTTTATTACCTTTTCTGCTATTTGCAATGTCAGAATGAAATGTAATAAAATATGACTTCCTCACAGGGATACTGAAGATAATTACAGACATGTTCCTCCCTCATGTCGGTGTATCAGAGCTGGAGGACGAGTGCTTCTCCAAGATCTTGCCAAAGGTGAAGAACATCATTTTGTATTCGGGACCAGTTCTGTGATTTCCATCTCTTATATGACAAAGTGGCCACAGGTGTGCAGTTATCTCACTGAAACTCGGGTCCAGAAGGCGTATTTTTTATTAATTGAACTATATGTTGTTGTTAAGTGAACTGTTTATTGTACGTTTAACTTTGTAGATATTCAGCTGGAGATGGACGTGACTGAGTGACTGTGGTCTGCTGGCACCTTTCAGTTAGACCCACTGGCTTTCTGACTTTCAGACTTTAAACATGAACTTTACTGCACAATTAGTGGCATGAAGTCTTTGGGAAGAGCTTGTTTCTTGTGGCCGTAGGGTTTCTGATACAAGAGAACATTCTCTGGTTAATGACTCTTTGTTTACACGACGGTCCGTGAAGCTGCTGTTCTTGAGAGCGTCTCTGATGTTCATGTGTCTGCAGGCAGAGGCCGTGTTTCACAGCATGATGGCAGAACTCATGGACCAAGTCGGCGGGCTTTCCAGTCAAAACACTGAACTGTGTGCTTTACTGAGGAACATTTTACAGGTACGACGACACAGCGTCCGTCATAACGGTACAGTGGAAGTAATATATATGTATATGCGGTATTGTGTGCGTTGTTCTCTCACGTCTCCCTGACGTTTTAACAAGCTCCTGTTGACTGTTTCAGGGACTGATGCAGATAATCGATGCACTGTCCACTTGCGTGCGTCACGTTGGCTCGTTTGAGGACGCCCCTGACCTGGACGCTATCCGCTCACTGCCGACTTGTATCCTGAAAGTCCTGAGGGAGACGTTTCAGCACTGCAAGGTCAGTGTGTTTGGTTTACTGGTGGCACTTCTGACAACAGTCACAATAAAACAAGCAGCATGGACATGGCTGGACAGGCTAAAGCCGTTGTTATGCAGTGCCTACAGATAAAGCTGCAGACGGAAACACAACCACAAGGAAAATCCATTCCTCAGTCATTTATTCAACTAAATATCAGTAGATGTGATATTCGTCTGTGGGCTCAGAAGCCAGCTTTGCTCCTGACAGCAGAAACAACTTCTTGTAGTTGTTTTGCCTAAATGCCCATTGTTTCTGATGTCAGCTCGCTAGAACTCTTCCCATCATCCCTCAGTAGCTTCGATGGCGCACTTCGCATCAAAATCCTGTGGAAATGCCGACTTTAACTTCAGCTTCACCTCTCAGACGGATGGCCCGTCGTGATCTTGTAGCATGCAGGATGAATGGTTGCTCAGTGCCTACGAGGTGCCAGATGGTACGAAGCCGGACACACCAGAGCACATCATCACTTTGCTTTACAGTCGGTGTGTGGTTCCTTTCCTGAGAAGCTGTCTTTGATCTGCGCCAAACACCTCTGACTTTGTTCCACATGGGCTGGTCTTTGGCCGGATGTTCGTTGGAAAACGGTAGTTTTGCTATGAGGTCGTTTCTGGACAGCAAAGCTTTTTTCCTGGCGCACCCCGTGCAGGTTAACTTTGTGCACTCTCTTCCTAAAGGCGTGTAGACACACACAATATGATGGCAGCAGTTTCAAGTGTTGTCTGCAGATAACGAGATGAAACTTTAGGGCTCTTAAAGCGACATCTTTCTGCATCAGACTGCCTTGAAGAAATGAGAAGTTCTCTAAAATTTACACCACTTGTGGAAGATTTTGCTCACAGTGGAGTGACATGTTTCAGATCATTTAGAGATCTTGTCACCTCCCTGTAGACTGTTAGGCATCCAGATCCTTTGTTCTACAGGTTTCAGAGCTCCTTTGATCACGGCGTGATAACCCCACACGCTTCAGAGAAGTCCAGACCTTCGATGTCTCTGGTCAGACAAGTTCCACCTGTAACTCTCTGAAAAAGGTTTTCATCCTTTGCACTGATTTTATGGACAGAAGGTGTGATTAATGTACTTACTTTTCCCATGTGACTGATCAGTTTGTATTTATTTGAATAATGAAAATAACTGCGATACGTCGTCGTGTGTCATTTGTTTGAGTGTGTCCTCTTTCCTCTGGATCAAGTGTTTGTTTATTAGGATACTTAAAAGCAACAGCAACAATCTCTATTCAGGTTTTTGTGAGTCTTTAGCTCTGTGCAGAAGTTGCTGTACGTTTTGTTGTCTGCATGCTGTTCACAGGACAGTGAGGTGGTTTACTGCGGCCGTCTGTCCCTGGTGGCCGACCTGCTGCAGGGGCTCTTCAAGGACGCGTACTCCCTCCAGAAGTCTCTGCTGGAGCTGCTGGATCGGGTCTCCCTCGACAGCGGCGCCTCAGAGGAGGAGGTCTCTGACGTCGTTGCAGGTGTGTTGGTGTCTATGTGGCATTCTTTTGCGCCACAGTCTTCGCTATAGAGCCTTTATTTTCTTAAACTGGTATACATGTGATGCCCTTTTTAGCATATTAAATGTATTTTTCATCCTCTTCTTCAGTGATTCATAGTCTTCTGGAGATCTGCTCCGTCATCTCCGACCTGGACGTAGCATTGCATGCAAACACGTGGAAGTTCCTCATCAAGTCAGTACTCTTCATGTCGTGTTAGCCAAGAGTTGGTTTAGTTTCCATTTCAGTTTCTGAGTGACTCGTTTCGAACGGTCATTGTTTTATTCAGACAGAGCCTCAAGTACCAGTCGCTGGTGGAGGAGCATCTGCATCACCAGGACATCAGCAGCAGCCTGAGGGACAACCTGCTGGCCTCCTTCCACAGCTGTGTGGAGCTGGCTGAGCAGATTAGACATGCCGGCCTCCAGGTAGACACACTCTGATTGTCTGTTCGACAAGGATTCATCTGCTTTTCAGACGTTTTCTGTTGCTGTTCAGTGTGTCTCTTATCAGAGTTTTCTTTCCTTTAACGTGTGTGAAGTTTCAATGTTTTTAGGAGCATAAACATATTTGCTCACCAGAGAACTGTTGCATACACAATATTGAGTCTTTCCTGACTGGACTATATTCTGCATAGAGAATGCTGAATATTTCCTGTGCTGTGACCCTTTGTGCTTCCAGAAACAGTCGGACTCCTGTTAAATAGTGTAAGGTCAAAGGCTGACTTGATCTCGGTCACCTTTTGTATTTATGCTCTTTGTCCTTTTTTTAAAGGAGTCTAAACAAAGCCCAGAATACAAGCTGTTCCAGAAATCTGCAAAGATGTGCAGGTTTTTTGCCAACACGTTGGTTCATTACATAAAGGTACTAAAATGAGGATGGTCCTGCCCTCTCTTCAGTGGTGTATACATGCACACATATATCTCTACGTCAATGTCCTCATTCTTTATCTTTTAAACAGGAATTCAAGTTTTTCCTGACAAAGTGTTGCAGCAGCTTTCACCAGCTCTACCTCCAGATCATCAGGTACGTGTTGTGTGCTGTGAACGGAGAATCCGTCTTTAGATGAACTGCATCCTGTGGTTTGAGTTGTGTTTCACATGATGTCTTTCAGTACGTTCCCTCCCAGCTTGTGTGCTCCAGCGCTGCCCACGGCGCTGTCGGAGGAGCTGAAAGCAGCAGCTCTGGTTCCCATGGATGCCTTCCTGCTCCAGCTGGTGCCGCTAAGGCCCTTTGCTGAAGTTGTCCTCCAGCAGGATCTACGTGAGTTCAAAGCCTATCCTGTTAGCATTTTTTCCAGATACAGTGGCAGTGTTGATTCCCTTTGTAGTGGAAGCATGGCTTTATCAGCTTTCTACTGATTAGCAGTGGCCCTCTCTGACTCACCGGATGTAGATTTTGAGTACAGGCCAGTAATTTCCAACACGTTATCGTAAATAAATCAGAACTCATATTATTTCCTCCCCTCCTTCTGATATGTGTGTTACTGTTTTCAAAATCGGCAGTTCAACAACCTCCAGCCTGAATGCTGGACGTGGTGCAGAGGACTGGGACCGCAGTAGGGAAGTCCTGCTAGCTTTCTGACTTGAAGTTCAGTGGCAGTGCCTACCTCCCCGTGTGCACATGTTCCACCAACACAGTTCCCCGTCTCTATCTTGAGGGAGCACCGTTGCTGCGCTGTGAGCGTAGCTCAATGCGATTGTGATTGGGTTATAGAAGGTCAAAGAACCAAGTGCTTCTCCCTGTAGCAGAAAAATGATGAAGTGCAGCTGTGGAGCAAAGTGAGAAAAACATACAAGTCCTGTTTGTGGGTGTGAATTCAGCTGTGGGTTTGGACCAGCACTGCTGGTTTCAGACTTGGAAGCCTGATGAGCAGCTTGCTTTCACTAATACGTGAATAAAATTACAGACCAAAACAAAAAGCCTCGCTCCAAACTGTTGTTGTCAGTGTTAGTATTTTGTTGTGCATGGTGTAAGGTGTGGTTCCAGTCCTCAGGCGTTGCAGTGGGAGCGTACTGCACACTCAGAACTGAGCAGAATTTACTTACAGTTCCAGTAAAGTCCACGTTCCCTGTTTATTTCTGTTTTCAACCACTGAGTTAGATCAGCGTCCACACTGGTGCCAGTCCAGCCGAGTGCGTCACAGCATTACTGATGTGATGCACATGATTCTCATTTATTGCCACACACAACTTGAGCGGCTTTTAGGAACCTTCCTTCCAAAACATCTCCTGAGAGCGGACCTCCTGATAGTTTGACTACTTAAAACATGTTGGCATCGTGCTTCTAGCTGCTGAGTGGTGCATCAGTGACCAAACGTACGGCATGCTGTCTGCAGGGTTACGTCCTGAACACGAGCTTCCTCAGTGTCTCCTGCTGGTGAGCATCATGGGACAACTTCCCTGCCAACCAGAGGAGGTGCTGCAGCTTTGGTTCACTGGCAGTGAGTTCTCAGAGGAGACACCCAGGTAAGAAAGGCTTTCTACTGAACGGCTTGAGAGCAGGGATGTGGGGTGTTGGTGTGTTATTGACTGTGTTTATCCTTGTACAGACAGTGATCAGATTTTACTGCAGCATCATCTAACAGTGATGATTCTGTCTTTCCTCTGACAGCTTGCACAGTTGTGTCCTCAGTACATTTTAATTTCTAATCATGTCAGAATACTTACATTACACATGGAGTTGTCTGTGCATTGCATTATCAGCTGTGAGGACTTTCGTTTTATGTTGGTTTGACCTCTTCAGTGCTTCAAAGCTTCTTTCCATCGCTCTTGTCTCCAGGCTTCCCCTCCACCGGGCCATCTTCACTAGCTTCCGACGATGCCACACTGAGCGTAATGTACCGGTGCTGTTGCCAGGGGTGATGCTGAAGGGTCAAGCCCAGGTCCAGGTCACTCTGCACCAACACATGTGTGTGCAGCTGTGTGCCAGTGTGGCTGTGCTGCCTCCTGTATGCCTTCCTGTGCTGGTGAGGGTCCACACCCGACCACATACACTGCAGCACCGGCTGCATCAGTAGAGGCGCTCTGCTGGTGATGTCTACACTGCATGTCATCTAAGGCTCAAGGAAGACTGCAACACTTCAGTTTTTATAAATCGGAAAAGTCAACTTATTAGTTTGTTTGTTGGTATTGGTAAACATAATGTCAGCTATGTAGACATGTCCTGTTCCAGTCCACCGTGTTACACTTCTGAGAAACTTCATGTGAACATGTTAAATAGCACAAGTAGGCCCAGTGAGGTCATACGATCTCCAGCTCAGTGTCTGAGACGTGACCTCGAGCTTGAATTCTTATTTATTTGGGAAATCTAATCAAATTCTGGCGTTAGCTGTGTTTCAGTGCAGGACTTCCTGTCATTCAAAGCACATTAAACTTTCACTTTGCTTTTCTGTCTTGGTTAAATATTTGGATGCCTTTTCGTATGTTGTACTGTTCACTCCCACCTCCTGCTTCTGTCAGACATGACTGCTCCATCTTCTTTCTTGTTCAGGAGCGGTGCTTGGTCGATGTTGTGCTGCAGGCGGATACTCAGACGGCTCTGCTGGCAGCAGACGTGTGGTGTTTCACAGCACGGTGAGAGTGACGCCTGATGCAGCTTTTATGTATTTCTCTGTTAGTCTGATCAACTGGTATCGTAAACGTTTCAGTCACAGTGGACCATAGATATAATATCATAAATCATATATATGTATGCCAGGACTGCTTCATGGCTCTCTCTGTGTCATTCTGCACTTCATTTCAGGCACGTTTAGACTTTTTATTACCCCAGCTGTTTGTCCATACGGCTGGTTGTCAGGATTCTCTCTGCATTCTGTCTTGTCCTGTACTGAGCCCTGGCTAACGCGCCTGTCTCCACCTGCAGGTATGGGTCAGCAGAACTTTGCCTCCATCACGTCGTGCTTATCGCTCAGCTGGTGGGTAGACAACAGGAACACACACGAGACAGCATACAGTTGTGGTGTTTTATTTTGATTTAAAACAAAAAAGCGTTACGCTGCTACACATTTTCAACACCTGAGTTCTGAAGATGCTCGTGAGACCTGAATACCTGACACTGGATCACAACCACACGTCCTGAATCTTGACTCTCACCCTCTTGGATAGACACCACAAGGTCACGGATGTTCCTCTGTGTTGATGACCTCTTCCTGAGCACTCGCTAAAATAACTCCAAATCCCCTTAATCTCTCTCGGTAGGGCCATGGATTAGTATGGGTTCCAGCCCTGTTTCTGTGGCATCCCAACAGAGGTGACAATTGGTGTCACCTCCTCGTGAGCCTTCACACTGGCACTCCCACTGTCCCTCACCTCCGCTCTGCTCCTCCCTCTTGTGCTGTAGGTGAAGGTGTGCCCCGCTGAGTGCTACCAGTCGCTGCACCTGGGCTTGCTGCTGAAACGCATGGTTTTCCTCATGACGCCAAACCACCAGGTCAGAAACCCTCGGAGCTGAAAGGAAAACATGTATGGACGTAGTGTTTGTAACTAGCGTGACGTAAACGGTACAAACACTGTCAACGTTTGCACACGTATGATTAAAGCTGCAGACCAACTCAGGATTTGAAAATATGCAGAAGCCGATGCTCAGGCTTCATTCATGCGTTCAGCACCAGGTGTTCATGTTTCATCGATTAATCGCCGTTAAGAATTCAACCAAACAAGGCAAAAGGTGTAGATGTGCTGCTTTTTAATATGTCTGAAGCGTTACGCGAGGTTCAGTGTTTGAGTGGCCGAGAGCACTGGAGGGATTTAACGAGCAAGGAGCCGCCATGACAGAGTTCTGTTTGGCTCAGTCCAGTCCAGTTTGTCTGTCTGCATCCCCTCCAGCTGTCTGTCTGTCTGTCTGTCTGTCTGTCTGTCTGTCTGTCTGTCTGTCTGTCTGTCTGTCTGTCTGTCTGTCTGTCTGTCCGTCCGTCCGTCCGTCTGCCTTGAGCTCCTGTAAAACCCTTTGAGGTTGCAGCAGCATATCTGACCAGGAGCAGTCATTGTTCCTGTTGTTCAGTGGCCAGCAGCACAGCAGCCTTTCACACAGCCTGCAGCTGACCAGAGTCAATTCAATTCAATTTTTCAATTCAATTTTATTTGTATAGCGCATATTTACAACAACAAGTCACCTTCATGGGACAGACTTTCTACAAACACTGCCCAGGGGAAGTGCAGAAGTCTAGTTTCCTCTTCAGCCACTTCAGTTACTGAAGAAACAAACTACATGGGTGTGATTTCTTTCTAATGGTTCTGCCAAAACAATGCATATTTAGTAATGATTCCGTGTGCTGCCTGTTTCCACCAAAGCCCAGAGACACTGAACCGCCTTCTGACTGTCCTCTGGAGCCCATCGATTCCTGAACTGTTCTGTTGTCACGGCCTTCAACATGTAGAGGTGCTGGGCCTCATGCTATCATGTCACACATTAGTGTCCATGCAGAGGTTTTCGCTCAGATCCTGCAGCTTTCACTGAACTGATGAGAACACGATTCCCTAGTTTGATGAGAGCTGTCCAACATATTAGTCCCAGATCTCCCACAGCTGTTCAGTAGGTTTGAAATCTAGTGATAGTGAAACAGAATTCACATGATTTTTATGCTCACTTGAAACTACTGAGTGAGCCCCTGCAAAGAGTTCAGTTCCTCTACTCACCATGTGTACCAGCTCCCAGTTTCTGGATGATAGGTGTTGATGTGTGTTTAGTGAAAGGCACATCGCCTGTACGAGACCACGTTCATATCTGCAGTCCTTGCTTTTCCCAGATGGAGCTGGTGGCACAGTTCCCACCGTCTGAGTTGGAGAACCTTCGAGTGTGGCACCACGTCCTCCTCAGAGCCCTTTCACAGGAGACCCGACTCCGTGTGCAAACAGAAATCCTCGACTTAACTCAGAAAGTTCTGACCGACTGGCAGAATGGAGGACACAAACTGGGACAAGTGGACAGAGTGGTGAGGATAGCCTCAGATACGTGTAGCACAGAAACAATGTCGAGGACGTCTGCTTTTGTTCTGTTGCATGAATTTGTCTCACTGGTGCTTGCCAAGAAAAAATAAATGATCCTGATATTGAATCCTTGGAGAAGCAGATGCAGTCCAGATATGAGGGCTGCAGCTCAGCGTCTGACCTTGTGCACTGATGACAGAGTGGATAAACTGTAATGTCCTCAACAAGTGACGTCAGGACTCAGATAAGCTTGTTCCCACGGTTGAAAATGGACGAGCCTCTCAGTGACCTGTCCTTGTTGGTTTTCAGCTTTTCTGTCCTTTTTCCCAAAGTTATGATTCAGCAGCATCGTCTGAATGAAGCCAATCACCAGCTTGGTTTTTACGTCCTGTCACAGTGTCCGTTCTTGCTTACCTCACAGGCTTTGTCATTCTACAGGTTTAACCTCGCACAATGATTACACCCAGTTAAGAAAACAGTGTCGGGGCGCAGGGTGGAACGGTGTGAAGTGGAAGCTGGGTGACTGTTGTATTTACAAAGTCCCTCCTGTTACCAGAACGTGGTGCTGTTGTCCCTCCTGGCGGCGCTTCGAGGGCAGCCGTCTCCTGAAGAACAGTGTGTGTTGCCTGCAGTGAAGATTGTCACCCAGCTGTGGTCACGAATGAGTCCAGATCAGGTAATAAAGACCTCACACACACCAAGATGGAGTACAGTTAGAAAGCCAAGCCTCTTCCACTGCTAACTGTTTGACTCCAGCTGCAGACCCAGCCGGTGCTCCGCTGTACTCTGCAGCTGCTCCTGTCTATATCAGCTGCTCTGGTGAAAAACATCGACCCTCAAGTCATTTGTCAGGTATGCTGGTGGTTTTCACCGTCCATGTTCACCAGCTGAAAACTGGGGAATGCTTCTCATGCTGCCGTGTGCTGTCCCAGGCTCTGCTGTGTCTGGACGCCGTCGTTGCTCAGAAGTGTGCAGATCCACTGCTGCTGGCTGCTCTGGAGTTCCTCTCCTCTCTGGGGAAGATCTTTGTCCCTCCTGACAGCCAGGTAATAAAACCACAGCACTACAGCTGAGGATCTTGTGCCTTCAGTCTCCTGCCCTCTCTATGAATGCTTACTCGAGGAGTCATTTTTCTGGTCTTCTCGTTGAATTGCAATGTGTGACCGTACAAGACCGACAGAAGAGTAGTAACTATCTGTAAAGAGATGATTCCAGATGTTTAACACTACTCACTACACAGTCCAGGCCTCCTTTCTGGGCTCCTAAAGCGTCTTCTGTGCATGCCATTATTTTTTTACACTTCGTCGACTAAGGGGAATGTCTTATGAGAAAGAGATTAAGTCACCATTAGTTGAAACTCTTCTTTCTCAGAGTCAAATTCTTCCGAGGCTGAGCAGCCTGTTTGGGGTCCTGTTGGCTGACACATCCTGGCTGCTACACCAGCACGCCCTGGAGGCCTTTTCCTACTTTGCAGAGGTATGGCTAGAACTCTACTGGACGCCAGTACTGGAGATGCAGTGCTGTATACTGTTTAACATAACCTTAATGTGTCCCTGTGTTGTTGAAGAACACCAATCACGAAGAGGTCATTTCCCAGAGTTTGTGTTCAGAAGAAACCAAGACCAAAGTGGTCAGTTATCTTAGCAAGGTGAGTGATGTCAGCAGATTGCTCCACAGATCTAGCAGAGGTTTAACAAGTGGAAGTGAATGAGCTGCTCCTTTGCTGTAGACTGTGAATGCTGAAGAAGATGTGGAGTCACGGCTGCAGAGGCTCAAACAGGAGACACTCGTGATCGAGCAACACAACGAGAAACTGGAGGACAACAAAGACCATGTTCCCAGTAAACCGGCCGCCGAAGCTGCTGCAGACTCTGAGGTGAGCAGCACCAACAAACAAGCTCAACGTGTCTTCTGGATATGCATGCTCATGCACAGCCTTTCATACTGCAGCCAGCTCCAGCCTCTGGTCAAACCAACCACTGGAGCATAGAAACAGTTAGGGTACCGAGTATCAGAAACGTTCTTCACCTTGGCTGAGTCCATCTAAATTTGACTTTTTAATCCCCACATATTGAATCTATAAATATCTAAGATTCAAGCTATGGATCGACCGAAATGTTTTGTTTATTTAAGAAAACCCATAGTCAATATCTGGAACTACCATACGTTATTTATATAAAGTAATGTTTTACCAGCATGTGGAAGGAGTAGGAGCCATTCAACCAGACACTCTCCTGTTTCTGTGGGATCGCCGGACGTTGATCAGCTTAATGTTTCACTGCTGTCTCTTTCTTTGCCCACTAACGTCTCCCCTAAAGAACGCTTATTACTGTTTTCCAGACTCTGCTTCAGGTTCATCAGGTGCTGCCTTCTAACTTAGCCGCTAGCTTTTAGCAGCGGCTTGTGTTTTGTGGTTCAGCTTTCTGTGCTTGAGAGACATTTCTGAGCACAGAGACGTGGCTGCGTCACACCTGAACTAGTGCATTTAATTTATCGGTCTATCCTTAGTTCAGTGTTTACGTGGCAAAAGCTAGATTGTGCTATGACGAGGTGCAGAGCATGTGTTTAAAAATAATAAGAAGTCATGTTGTGAGAACTGAAATCACAGACAGATCTGAAACCCTTCCTCCCTCTCAGCCGTGCCCGAAGAAAGCTCGGCAGGAGACCAGTGCAGAGGAGGAGTACCGCCGCTACATGCAGGCAGCTGAGAGTGCTTTAAAAGCCCTCCAGGCTCTCACGGAGGGTAAAGCCGACACCACTGCACCACCTCCACCGTGGCTGGAGTCCAGACTACAGGAGCTGCAGACCCTCATAGCCCACATCAGTGCAGCCAGACTCACCAGCTAACAGCTCCAGACTGTTCCCACTCAGTATTTACAGCTTGATCCGTTTGTGGACATCCAGAGAAAACAGCTTCTCCTCTTTTTAAATCTGTCATTCTTGAGTCATGATAGCATTTATTAAACTTCATTGATTACCAAGGCGTTATTCACATTTTTGAGCAGCAGGTTTCACAGCCTTCAGTACCGGTGGACAGTGTCTGTACTATAGAACAGGAGAGAGACCTCTCTGGTACAGGAAAATGTTTATTTCACCAGCAACCAAAACGCTACGAATAAATTATGTAATTCCTATTTCACATTCATTCAAAGTGCAAGCCTTCTGCTAATCAAACCTGATTCCTTCTGGACACGTCTTGCCAACAAATGCATCTTAATGCCAGTAGTGAAGTTGGCACGTTTACAACAAATTAGAAGAGAGCAGATGCAAACAGGATGACATTCACCTCTGAGCAAGATCACGTTGAGGTGAATAATATCAATTGGCAAACATGTACGAATGGCTTCTAGTGTCCAAGTCCAGCACCATCTGATCAGCAGCCAGCTGGTCCGGTTCCAACGCACGTTCTCATCACGAACGTTAGTGATAATAAACGGCGGAGAACGGACTACAAAAAGTCTCAGGCCGTCCCAGTCGTCATCGTTCTTACTGCATCGTGTCAAATGAGAAGCTACTTCCACGTTCCTGGTCTGCTGAGAAGTGGCCCTCCAGATGTGGTGCATGGAGTTTTCCAGTGGTTTAGTCTTTCGATCCAGATGGAAATGATGCATCAGACGTCATTACCAGGCGCTCTCATCCTCCCAGTTCAGGTCATCTCCGTCTCCCCAGCCATCTGTTTCAGTCTGGGGAAAAAAAAATCTAAATGTAAACACAATCATGTCTGGGAGGTACCGAGGACCAAACGCTCTCTAGCTGATGCCAGCGCAGTCATTAACAGGACAGATCGAACACATCTATCTGTGTGCAAACCTGGACTTTGCATTAGCTTTTTGGCTTTCACGCTTTTCAAACTGCTCCTAGTTGTACAAATAGGCTGTAAAAAGTTCTCTTTGAACCCAGGCATGTCCCATTGTCTGGTCTGATGGCGATAGCCGTGGCAACCGATCCATTACCGTCACCTTTTGACTTTTTAGAACTTTAAGGCAAAGGTGCGGTCTAACCGACAAAACAAAGGAATGTCGGGTTTGGATCACTGGTTCATGACCAAAGATTAAATGCTCAGTTCTGTACCTGCATCTGATGAAATGTGACAGTGATCAAATGATCAGAATGTTTAGTTTAACCGTAATGCCTGAAAGGGGCTCGCATCAGACATTGATCACTGTTGCTTGTCTGATTCATAAAGAGTCTGTACAGATTGCTGCAAAAGCCAAGAAAGCATCATCCCATCTAAAAAACCTGATCCGAGATGCAACCTGACGAGCATCCCCTACACGCTCACCTCAGCGATGTTGGCCGCTGCAAACTTGGCAGTGAGTGTTAAAGTATCGATGGATGCGTCGACCTGCAGACATCCGGCGTTGTCTGAAGATGACGCGCTGCTCTCCTCCAGCGGCAGCAGAACCGGAGAGGACAGCTTGATGTCAGGCACCATGTCTGCAAACAGATCCAGCTCCGGGTCTGCCGCTACCTTTTTCTTCACCTTGATGGTGAACTCCTCCCCCAGGTCTCCTATCCCACCATTCTTCTGTGGCACTGCAGGTTTGGGCGTGGAGTTGGATGAGTTGTGTGATTTCTGAGAGTCAATTTCCTCCTGAGTCCAGCCGCTGTCCCACGAGGAAGAGGTCTTGCTCGGTGTCGATTGTCGCAGTGTTGAGGTCAGTTTAAGGGGTTTGGAGGAGCCCAGTCTCTGTGCTTCGGGGGCATGTTTTGCAGATGTGCCCCCTCTGGGTGGCATAAGTATGACCGGGTCTGATAAGGGAGCTGTGGGGGACAGATCTGAGGTAGGTTCAGTGTCCTCGAAGTCATCCCACGGCTCCTCTTCTGTGTTCTGATGAGCGAGCGTGAGTCTGCCGCCGACCGGTTCAACTGTCTTTGAGGCCTGAATGTGGATCTGGACCGACTGTCCGTCTCTTTTCTCGCTCTCCTCGGGGTCATTCCAGTCAGGCCAGTCTTCCACGGTGCCTTCCAGTCCGTTGGGCCGCTCTGGGCTGTACGACAGCGGCTCCATGGCGCTGTCCTGACCAAAGCCATTCAAGGGTAGAGACATCTGTCTGCTGACGTCTGGACAACACCACAGAAAAGACGCAGTGAGATTCAGGTGTAAAAAATCAACACGTTCATTTGAATTTGAAGTATTATGGCGGCGTTTCACCTGATATTGGTGCGATCGCCCTCGGTGTGTCCCTAGTGCCTGCTAAGTTAGCCATGTGACCGAGAACCAAGCCTTCAGTCCCTGTCGGTCGAGGGAACAGATTCAGTACTTTGGAAGGCTGGGCCATCTGAGGGTGGGAGCCTCCAACGATATGGACAGGTGAAGCTAAAGAACAGAGATGAAACAAGATCAGTGCCCAACAAATGGTACCGTCAAACACTTCTTACTCACACACCATGCAGAGCAACACACTCCTGACACAATCCTAGTTAACTGGGGATTACAGGAGAGGATGCAGAGCCTCCAGTGGGAGCTGGTCCTCTCACCAGACCCGGACACCGGGCTTGGTGACAGAACGACAAACTGCCCCTGGACTACTAGGTACTGCTGCACATCAGACAGCGATGCCTTTAGCTGATGATGACTCATGGTTTTACGTGTGGAACTGGTTGTAAAGTATTCGAGTCCCACGATGCTGAGCTCCTACAAGCCTACGAGAACATACGTGTATTATTAGAACCTCTACACTGTTGAGCAGCCCAGCTGAGACTAACTTTCTTCAGTCTGGAAGTTCAACTTGAACCAACCAGAACCTGCTTTAAGTAACAGCTGTTCTTCTAGCACTCTGCGTACAGAACGGTCCCTACCAACTGTTGGTTTTATGCATCTTCTTCAGCATGACTAATAAGCAGCTTTCCGTGTTATCAGAAGACCAGCTTTGCTCACTTTCAGGGGTGACTTCTGTCGACTTGGTGAAGTTGGGCGTGGTGCGTTTAAAGACCTTGGTTCTCTCTCCGCCAACGACCACCTGAGCCCCCAGCAGGGGCACCAGCACCGCCAGACTCTGCAGCGTCATGGCAACCAGAGAATCACTGGTGTCTCTCATCCCCAACAAAACCTGCAGCCGGCGACAAACCAAGAAGGTCAGACAGCTGAGAAGAAGGTACAGAGCTGCAGTGAACTCCTTCCCCCACATCAAACTCTGAACAAACTACTTAGATTCTTCTTTTCCTCATATCAGTGAATCTCAAACAACTGGAATATCGTGAGAGTTTTTTCATACCTTAATTCAAAAAGGCAAACTTTTATAGAATCTATTTTATATATGAATTATAATCATTTAAGGCCTTTTTTGTTTGGATTTTGATTCTTGTGGCTTATAGCTGTCTGTGGAGTGTTTCATGGAGTTCTAGTCAGGTGAGTTGGCTGGCCAAGAAGCACAGTGACATCATGGCCAGCCAACCACTTGGCAGTAGTTCTGGCACCGAGGGCAAGTGGTAACTCCCGCTGGAAAAGGAAACCAGCACCTCCGTAAAGCCTGTCAGCAGATACAAGCCTGAAGGTCTTGGCTGTGGTTGTCTAGTCCCAAGTCTGAAGAGTAGTTTACTCAAACTGGAAATGAAAGAGTCCAAGACACGCAGGCTGTAATTCTTCTACACAGTCTGTATGTTTACATTTTCACCTTCTTAAATAAGTGAAGAACTTTCTCCCCAGTCTGATGGTGTGACATGCACCATGTATCATAATCCCATGTTTATGTGAATGAGCTGGTTAGACACTCTAGGAATGAGCGGCCACCCGTCGCCACACTACAGCAGCTTTAGGCAGACTTTCCTCTGTGCTACGCCTCCTGACAACCTGACGGTGTTCAGCCAGATATCTGGTCATGTGAGGGGTTTCCACAAACAGTCTTAAAGCTCTCAGAGTGCTCACTAAAATGATTAGTGCCGCCCCCAAATGGAAATCAAATGTGTGATGCTTTCCTTTTTGCCCTCATGG